GGGTGGTGCAGGCAGCCCAAAGCAGCGGTGGCGATGGCTGGAGCCTTAGACTTATCTTTATGCAGCAACAGCAACAGTGATTCTCTGATGCCTCATCTCTTGCTTGAAAGATTTTTGCAGCAGGAAACAGCAGGTGGCTACTTCTGCCCTTTGTTGGTGCAGCTGGGCGTGACTCTGCCCCGAGACACTGACTGCTGGTGCCATTGCCTTTTTGCTGGTGCAAACGGCCTGCAGCCGCTGCCTTTTCACCAGTGCAAATGGCCTTCTGCCTCTTTGCCAGTCAGAACCAAGGCAGCAGCGACTGCAGGCCGTTCACAATGGCAAAAAGGCAGCGGCTGCAGGCTGTTCATGCAGGCAAAGAGGCAGTGGTGGTAGGGCGCTCATGCTGACAAAAAGGCGAAGGAAGGTTCACCAGGCAGGCAGGTAGCTGGGCCGCATGAGAGGCTGGGGCGAAGGCAAACGAGTGGGCTGGGCCACAGGGACCACATAGTCGAGGCAAGCGAGCTAGTGAGCAAGGGAGGGATCTAGAGAGCAGCAGGTGGTCTGTCACAGCCTAGGCAGGTGAGGCCAGATAAGGAGTGTCTGGGAGGGAAGGGGCGGGTGGGGCGAGCCAGTGGTGCAATTTGCCAGTTCTTCAAACTGCACAAAAATTTACCAACCTGTTCTCCTGAACCAGTCTGAACCAGCTGAATCCCACCTCTGAAAATGTCCAATTTGAAGTATTTATTTACTGTGTTGTAGTGTATGCCTTATAGATGAAGTTTCATGGTTACATTAACACATTTTGGTTTCCTGGCAAACAATCTGCATTTATAGCTGTTTGCAGCACCCTGCAATCATGGGACCTTCATTTACAATTTTTTCCCTGGAAACTAGCATTTACTTCCAGTTTCTGGAAAACAGCACCCCACAGGAAACAATGGTTTCACTTATGGACCAGGGGCATTCACCTAACAACCACCGCAAAAGTCATAAAATTGAGTGTGGGCGCCTTGTGACCCACTTAACAACCATCATGACTTAATCAAATTTGCAAGCTCAATTACAGTCATAAGACTAGGACAACCTGTAAATCAATTTGAAGGACTAGAGCAGTATATGATTTGCAGCATTGAAATAGAAACTGTTGTAATGAATTCTATAAGGTAAGTCCTGATGCACTGAAATGTTGATAGTGTTTGCGTGTATGGGTTAATGAATTTCAAAAGTTTGCAAGGCATTAACAAATAGAAATGGAAGCTTAGCTTGTCTTTTAAAGCAACATGGACAGGCAGATGAAGTTTAAAAACAAGGGGTACTTCCTAATTATTTCTGGATATTGTTTTTCCCCTCAAGTTAATAAATAAGTTAATTAACATTAAATATTGTGACTAAACTGAGGTCACAGAACATGTCCATGTTAGAACATGTAAAATGTAAAAATATATTTTAAAAATTATGATGACTTCTGTCAATATCCTGCCTACAGCAGAATAAACTGCATCGGGGTGAGGTAACTGCGTTGTACAGCAACAAAATGAGTAGCGCTTATGTACCATGTTTCCTACCATTTCCTGTGAACCTTCATAGCATTATAGAACAAAGGGTTTTGGAGGAAAGAAGCAGCCAAATCTCCAACTTCACCCAGAAAATATTTTAGGGGAGCCTATTTTATACTTCTACCAAATTGAGACCCCTTTTCTATTATAACTGAAAACCTGTGTTTCAACAACTCTCAGATTTTAATACAATTTCATTTTGTACTTTGGAAATTAAGTTTCAGGGTCTTCATGCCTTTCCGGTCCTCTTTTTCTTTAGAAACTGTGAGAAGTTTTATGTCCAAATATACTTTATTCTTTATAGTGTTTCCATCTTCCCTTCAAATATTAACAGAATCCATAATGGTCTGAGAATCACTTTCTCCAAGTTCTCCAAATTAGCAAAGTTCCTCAAACCCCAAAATAAGTTACCCAGACCTAATCCATATATCAAAAGATAAAATCTACAAATACAAATAGAATTAAATCTCCCAGCAGAACTGTATGTTCAGAGGAATACACACACACACACACACCTCTAAGCATATAGACACTTCCATACTCTATAAAAGTTTGCCACTGTACCCCATTTCTCTGCAGCCTGGCCCTAAAGCAAACTATTTTGCTTTTAAGAATGTTTCTTTTTGCGACAGCTGTCTGGATCTTATTTTATTTTATTTATTCTTATGTAATTCCGGCTTGAGTTGGAACCTCAAATGATTCTTTTGACAAAACAAAGGTGGTATAAAAGTAAATTATGCTTTTATAGAAAGTAGTTATTTGATATTTAGGGGCGTTTTTTTTTTAAGTTGGTCAAGTAAACATGGTTCATCATGTCTTGAAGAAACAAGTAAGGAACATTTTAGCTCCTAAAGGCTACAGGAAGCAATGGTTTAGCAATAAAAGTAGATGCAAAATGTATAAAAAGACTAAAATTTTAGCCTTTTTCACTGAAAAATTAATGCAATCTTAGATTGCTAAATATTAGCCTGTGACAGTTTTAAAATGCTGAGTTAATAATTGCTAAAGTGCTGATTAAAAAAGAACTCTAGAATGGGTGCACATGAAAGAGTTTTAGGCTCTTGCTAGAACATCTCAAATGTGGAAAAGTGTGCAGAACAGCCATTTGTATTTTGAGTTTTCATTGTAGTATGTCAAAAAAGGGAAGATTATGCACTGTACTAACAAAAAAGGATAATATAAGAGAAGATGGGGATGGTTATAACATCTATTCCTGCAGTGCCATGCTGTAAAAAAGATGCTGAGACTCTAGAAAGAATGCAGAGAAGAGCAACAAATATGGCACTGGAGGCTAAAACACATGAAGAACGGTTACAGGAACTGGTTATGTCTGGTTTAATGAAAAGAAGCACTAGGGGAGACATGATAGCAGTGTTCCAATATCTCAGGTGTTGCCACAAAGAAGAGAGAGACAAGCTATTCTCCAGGGCACCTGAGGGTAGATCAAGAAGCAATGGGTGGAAACTAATCAAGGAGAGAAGCAACTTAGAACTGAGGAGCAATTCCTGACAGAACAATTAACCAGTGGAACAACTTGCCTCCAGAAGTTGTGAATGCTCCAACACTGGAAGTTTTTAAGATGTTGGATAACCATTTGTCTGAAGTGGTCTACGTTTCCTGCCTAGGCAGGGGGTTGGACTAGAAGACCTCCAAGGTCCCTTCCAACTCTGTCTATTCTATTCTATTCTATCACTGCCCTATAA